CGTGTCGCCGGCGCCGGGCCGCGGGATCCGCGGCGCAGGCGGGGCATGGCAGGACACGGGACACACGGACGCTCTCGAGGTTCGAGGTTCGAGGAGGAGGAGGAGGAGCTAGGAGGAGGAGGAGGAGGAGGAGGAGGAGGAGGAGGAGGAGGAGGAGCTAGGAGCTAGGAGCTAGGAGCTAGGAGGAGGAGGAGGAGCTAGGAGGAGGAGGAGGAGGAGCTAGGAGGAGCTAGGAGGAGGAAGCGGAGGAGGAGGAGGAGGAGGAGGAAGAAGAGGAAGAGGAGGAGGAGGAGGAGATTCGAGTTTTCAAGGTTCGAGTTTGTCAGATGCTTTCTTGGGTTCCCGACGGTCTCAGCCTGAGGATGTTTTCCAGCATGCTGCGCCTCGCCGAGGGCGTTACGGGCGGGGGTGCCTGGATTGTCCCGAGCGGCCGCCAGAGACCTGAGGTATGGTCTGAAAACCCGACCCTCTCTCGTCGCTCGTCAATCACGACAAGGGTTTTTCCCCACATGTTTCGTGGGGTTCTGGTTTTCTTCCCACCCGCGTCGCACCCGCGTCTTCCTCATCACCTCCTGCCTCCCCCTTTCTCCTCCTCCTCGTCCTTCTTCCTTTCACCCACACGCAACACATGCACTGCACGTGCATCATAGGTGGTCCCTGAGCGTGGCCGCTATCCGTGCCGGTCGTCCAGGGTGTAGCAGGCGTGGCACTTTCCCGACACCATGGGCGGTGCGCAGGGGGTGGTCCCTGAGCGCGGCCGCTATCCGTGCCGGTCGTCCAGGGCATGGACTTTCTCGACGCCGTAGGGGGTGCGCAGGAGGTGGTCCCTGAGCGCGGCCGCTATCCGTGCCGGTCGTCCAGGGCGTAGCAGGCGTGGCATTTGGGGGGTGCGCAGGGGGTGGTCCCTGAGCGCGGCCGCTATCCGTGCTGGTCGTCCCGACACCATGGGGGGTGCGCACGGGGTGGTCCCTGAGCGCGGTCGCTATCCGTGCCGGTCGTCCAGGGCGGAGCAGGCGTGGTACTTTCGACACCATGGGGGGTGCGCACGGGGTGGTCCTTGAGCGCGGCCGCTATCCGTGCCAATCGGTCACGGCATAGCAGGAGTGGCACTTTCCCGACACCGTAGGGGGTGCGCCGGAGGTGGTCCCTGAGCGCGACCGCTATCCGTGCCGGTCGTCCAGGGCATAGCAGGAGTGGCACTTTCCCGACACCGTAGGGGGTGCGCACGGGGCGGTCCCTGAGTGCGGTCTCTATCCGTGCCGGTCGTCCAGGGCATCACAGGAGTGGCATTTTCCCGACACCACAGGGGGTGCGCACGGGGCGGTCCCTGAGCGCGGTCTCTATCCGTGCCGGTCGTCCAGGGCATCACAGGAGTGGCATTTTCCCGACACCACAGGGGGTGCGCAGGGGGGGGTCCCCGAGCGCGGCCGCTATCCGTGCCGGTCGTACAGGGCATAGCCAGAGTAGTTTTTCCTCAGCACCATAGGGGGTGCGCAGGAGGTTGTCCCTGAGCGCGGCCGCTATCCGTGCCGGTCGTCCAGGGCATAGCAGGAGTGGCTTTTTCCCGACACCATAGGGGGTGCGCAGGGGGTGGTCCCTGAGCGCGGTCGCTATCCGTGCTGGTCGTCCAGGGCGCTGCTGTCCGTGACGGTCGTCCGTCCAGGGCATAGCAGGCATGGCATAGTCTCGACACCATAGGGGGTGCGCAGGGGGTGGTCCCTGAGCGCGGTCGCTATCCGTGCTGGTCGTCCAGGGCATGACAGGAGTGGCATTTTCTCGACACCAAAGGGGGGGCGCAGGAGGTGGTCCCTGAGCGCGGCCGCTATCCGTGCCGGTCGTCGAGGGCATAGCAGGAGTGGCAGCTTCCCGACACCATAGGGGGTGCGCAGGGGATGGTCCCTGAGCGCGGCCGCTATCCGTGCCGGTCGTCCAGGGCGGAGCAGGCGTGGTACTTTCGACACCATGGGGGCTGCGCACGGGGTGGTCCTTGAGCGCGGCCGCTATCCGTGCCAGTCGGTCACGGCATAGCAGGAGTGGCACTTTCCCGACACCGTAGGGGGTGCGCTGGAGGTGGTCCCTGAGCGCGACCGCTATCCGTGCCGGTCGTCCAGGGCATGGCAGGAGTAGTTTTTTTTCGACACCATATGGGGGTGCGCAGGAGGTGGTCCCTGAGCGCGGCTCCAGGGCATAGCAGGAGTGGCACTTTCCCGACACCATAGGGGGTGCGCAGGGGGTGGTCCCTGAGCGCGGTCGCTATCTGTGCTGGTCGTCCAGAGCGCTGCTGTCCGTGACGGTCGTCCAGGGCATAGCAGGCATGGCATAGTCTCGACACCACAGGGGGTGCGCACTGGGTGGTCCTTGAGCGCGGCCGATATCCGTGACGGTCGTCCAGGGCATGACAGGAGTGGCATTTTCTCGACACCGAAGGGGGGGCGCAGGAGGTGGTTTCTGAGCGCGGCCGCTATCCGAGCCAGTCGTCCAGGGCGGAGCAGGCTTGGCATATTCTCATAACCTTAGGGGGTCCGCAGGTGGTGGTCTCTGAGCGCGGCCGCTATCCGAGCCGGTCGTCCAGGGCGCAACAGGCGTGGCACTTTCTCGACACCATAGGGGGTGCGCAGGGAACGGGCCACCAACATCATTCTCACATGCTTCACTTCAGCTATCATCACTACAGCCATAATAGAAGTATGTGGGGTTCCTCGGTAGCGCAATTGTTGCTAGTCTCGGCTTGCGGGGACCTTCGCCGGGCCCCCAGGACCAGCCAAAAAACTTCGGTCTGGGGAACGGGTCGAGCCCTCTGGGGGTCGACGTTGTGAAATCACGACGTCGGAGTCCTGGGGAACGGGTCGAGCCTTTTGGGGGTCGACGTTGTGAACAAAGTCGTGGCGTCGTGGGTCTGGGGGGGAGGAGGAGGAGGAGGAGGAGGAGGAGGAGGAGGAGGAGGAGGAGGAGGAGGAGGAGGAGGAAAAGGAGGAGGAGGAGGAGGAGGAAAAGGAGCAGGAGGAGGCAGAGGAAGAGGAGGAGGAAGCAGAGGAAGAGGAAGCGGAGTGGGCCCACAGGGGGCCCCAGCACTGGCTGGCGCGCTTGGCTTCGACCTCCCCGCGGCCCCCTCAAGTCGCGCACCAGAGGTCCCTCTTGCCCAGGGTGGCTCTTGCGTGTGGCCGCGCGGGGCAGTGGCTCGTAGGGAGGCGGTGCGAATCCGCCTGCACGCGCAGTGCGCCGGGCCGGGAGGAGGTCTCCTCCTCCTCCTCGCCCTCCTCGCCCTCATCCTCCTCCCTCCTCCTCCTCCTCCTCCTCCTCCTCCTCCTCCTCCTCCTCCTCCTCCTCCTCCTCCTCCTCCTCCTCGCATCCTCCTCCTCGCCATCGCCATCCTCCTCCTCCTCCTCCTCCTCCTCCTCCTCCCTCCTCCTCCTCCTCCTCTCGCCTCCTCCTCCTCCTCCTCGCCATCCTCCTCCCTTCTCCTCCTCCTCGCTCCTCCTCCTTCCTCCTCCTCCTCCTCCTCCTTCTCCTCCTCCTCCTCCTCCTCCTCCTCCTCCTCCTCCTTCTCTGTCCTCCTCTGTCCTCCTCCTCCTTCTTTATCTCTCCTCTTCCTCCTCCCTGCCTCTCTCTCTCTCTCTATTTCTCCCTCCCTCCCTCTCGGCTGCGCTTCTCTCGCAGCGGGGCCCTGTTCCAGACCTCGGGGCGGCATTTCCTCTCCAGGGCGCCCCGCCGAGAGCTTTCCGGGGGTACCCTGGAGTCCAGGGCGGACGCCCTCATGGAGGCGTGCCGTGGGCTCCTCGAGCTTAGTTTCCTGTTCGTTTTGGGGCCGCTCATGGAGTTGGAATCGTGTGCGGACGGGCCTCTGCTGGGCGTTGCGGGTGTCGGGCTGGGATGGGTTGGGAGGGAGTTCCCCCTATCCTCCCTTTTCCGCTCGTGCGTCGGTCCCTCTCTCCCTTCTGGCTGCGCGCTCACTCCGTAGGGCCTTTCTTCAGCAGGGACGCTGCGGCATTGGGGTTCGACGTCGGTCAGGTTGGGCTGGGCAGGGGACCCCCTTCATTCCCCAGGCCCCAGGGAGTGTCTTCGTTCCCCCTCCCCGACTGCTGTTCTGCAGTGGTGCTTAGAGCACGCTGTTCTGATGGCGGGGGCTGGGGGACAGGGTGAAGCCTCCGGCAGTTGAGATGCGGACTCTCTGCGGGCCCATCCCACTCCTGACGGCCGCTGTCCCCTCCATCGCGGGCTTTCCCCTGGCACGAAAGGTGGCCATGGACCCGCCCGCCTGGAGGCACAATAGTCGGTGTGGGGATGTTCCGTCGCGGGGACCTCCTCCTGCCCGGTCAGCCTCGCTAAAAGCATCCATGTTTGAGGATGCGAACGCCACCCTATGGGCCACCCCCAGTCAAACTGCTCCCTCCTCCCTCCTCCCCCTCTCTACCTCCTCCTCCTCCTCCTCCTCCTCCTCCTCCTCCTCCTCCTCCTCCTAGCCGCTGCCAGCAGTAATGATCCACCAGCCGGGCTTCCCTGAACCGAGGGGCACGGCACGGCCTCCACCCGCCGCCCCCGGCACGGGCACGAGCGGGCCCAGAGCGCTCGTCTTCCCTCGTGTCTCTCTCCCTCCCGAAGATTTTTACAGCGGCATCAGCACACAGCCAAGACGCTGAACTAAGGAGCATCTCGGGTTCGGAAGGGGCTCGTTGTTCCTTGGGGCCTTCCATGCTGGCCCCTCTAGCCTTCCTCGTGCACCCAGGCGTTGCTGGCGCCGAAAAGGGCAGTCGTTCCTGATGTATCGTGTCTTATTTCAGCAGCCCCGCTGTAAACTTTCGAAGCTCCGCGCAGATTTCTTGGATCTGCGCTTGACCCCCCTCCCTGGCGCGCGGAGCGCGCCAGAGGCGGCGCCGGAGGCGCCGCCAAGGGGTCCAGCGCCGATCCAAGAAGTCCGCGCGGAGCTCCGACCGTTTCTGTTTATGCCCGCTTCTGGTTCCTCTGCTCTCCCCGTGCGGCAACAGGACTTGTTTGCCCTCGTCATGGGGACGCTCCGGCAGCCCGACACCCGAGAGGAGGGCAAGCCCGGACTGGCCTTCTACGGCGGCAGGCTGGCCTCCCCCCCTCAGGGGGCTCGATCCATAACGCCTCGCCGTTTGGTCGGCCAAGGTGCAAACCGAAGGGCCGAAAACGGCACAGTGTGTGTGTGTGTGTGCCGTTTTCAGATTTTCGGTGCTGTACAAACAGAACACCTGTGGAGCTCCGCGCGGATTTCCCCGATTGGCGCTGGGCCCCCCTGGCGGCGCCTCCGGCGCCAGGAAAGAAGTCTGGCGCCGATCCGAGACATCCGCGCGGACCTCAGAAAGTTCATGTCAATTCCTAATCCTCCTGAGTGGGGTTCTCGTTTTGAATAGAGCAATGCGGTCTCCACTCCTTCCTTCCGCCTCCTTCTTCCTCTCTTCCCCCCCTCCCCTCTTCTGCCTGCCTGCGAGTTTGCCTTCTGGCCTGCTCCTTACCTCACCATCCCTGGGGGGCCGCGCACTGCGAAACCGTCGCCACTTTCGAGGGCTGCTTGGGGTCCAGCGGAGCGACGTCTTACGCGGACTCAAATTAGACCTCGCCATCCCTGGATGGGGCTGCGAGCTGCGAAATTGCCGCCACCTTGGAGGGCTGCGGGGGGGTCCAGCGGAGTGACGTCTTACGCGGACTCAAATTAGACATCGACATCCCTGTCTGGGGCTGCGAGCTGCGAAACAGTCGCTACTTTCGAGGGCTGCTTGGGGGGTCCAGCGGAGTGACGTCTTGCGCGGACTCAAATTAGACATCGCCCTCCTGGGGAGAATGCGAACTGTGAAACTGTCGCCACTTTCGAGGGCTGCTTGGGGTCCAGCGGAACGACGTCTTACGCGGACTCAAATTAGACCTCGCCATCCCTGGGGTGCTGCGCACTGCGAAGCTGTAGCCATTTTTGAGGGCTGCTGGAGAGTCCAGCGGAGTGATGTCGCACGCAGACTCAAGTTCTTCACGTTTCACGTATCCCCGCCAGCAGCTCCCCGTCCGCTTTCAGGTTTGTGCTTGCGTTCCCCTCTGTCGGGCCGCCAGCGCCAGCCCCCAATGCGGGTCATTTTGTCCCTTGCAGGTGCACTCGCTTCAGTGGCCTATGTGCCCCTGCGGCTAATTATCTCGCTCTGTGCCCCAGTCGTGTCCGACCCGTTTCCAGGATCTGTCCTCGGAGCCGCCAATCAAAAAAAAGTATCCCCGCCAGCCATTTATTGACGGCGCGCGGCTCCTCCGCTTGCGCTCGCGACCAAAACAAGTATCCCCGCCAGCCCATTCAGAAGCCCTGCCCATGAGAGCTGATGGGAGAAGGGACGAAGCGACACATGTAGTGAAACAAAGCGGGCAACCAGGATGAATAGAGAGATCTCCGGGAACAAGGGGATGGCCTTGGAGGGCCTCGTCGGGCCATCCCTGGGGTCCGCGTGGGAGCCAGGGACGGAGGAGAAGGAGGAGGAGGAATATGACGACTACTATGACGAGGACGACGCCGACGACGACGACGCCGACGCCGACGCCGACGACGACGACGACGATGACAACGACGACGCCGACGCCGACGATGCCGACGCCGACGCCGACGCCGACGCCGACGCCGACGCCGACGCCGACGCCGACGCCGACGCCGACGCCGACGACGACGACGACGACGACGACAACGACACGACGCCGACGACGACGCCGACCACGACCACGACCACGACCACGACGATGACCACGACGACGAGGAACAGACGCAAAAGGAAAAGGAAGTCCATGAGGGCAAGGACAAGGACGAGGACCAGGACGATGACAACGAGGACGAGGACAGAGTCATCAAGATCGATTCTTGGAGCCCTCTTGGCACTCTTTTGGGGGATCTTGGGGTCCTCTTGGGGCTCTTTTGGGGGTCTTGAGGCCCTCTTAGGGGCTCTCTTGGATGCTATCGATCAAAGGAGGAGTGGTCCTCGATTCGCCTCCCCCCTGGGGCCATCACGCCTCTTGGGTGGATATTGGGCGCTCTTGGCGCCATTTGGGGGGCCTCTTGGGCCCCTCTTGGGCCTCTCTTGGGCCATCTTGGGGTTACCTTGAGGCTTCAAAAGCGTATCGGAAGCGACAATGCGATACGGCACACAGCATCGATCTCGTTTCTCGGGGTGCAAGTCTGGAGCGCGGGCAGTCCAGTCGTTGCGGCGCTTGGTGGAAGCTTCTTTGAGGCTTCTTAGAAGCCTCTTGGGGGTTTCTTTGGGGCCTCTAGGCGGCTTCTTTGGGGCCTCTTGGGGCCTCTTGGGGGCGTCTTGGGCCGCCTTGGGGCGCTCTTGCGCCGTCTGTCCCCTTCGGAGGCCGTCCTGTGGGCCTCTCGCGGCTGCCTTGGAGTTCTCTTGGGGTCCTCTTGGGCCGTCTTGGGGGCCTTCTGAGCCGTCTTGGGCGTATCATTGGGACGTCTTGGAGCCCTCTTGGGCCGACTTTGGGCCTTCTTAGAGGTTTCTTGGGCCGTCTTGGTGCCGTTTTGGAGGCTGATGGGCCTCTAAGAGTAGAAAATGACGAGAACGCTCATATCCATCAACAGACCAAGGAAAATCAATGATTCTGGCCTTCTGGAGGCGCTCTTGGGGGGTCTTGTTGAAGCCGTCAGGGGCCGCCTTGAGGGCCTCTGTGGCCCTCTTGGGGCCATCTTGGGCCGTCTTGGGGCTATCGTGGGCCGTTTCGAAGCCGTCTTGAGGCCGTCTTGGGCCCCCGAGAGACCCCAGGCCCCCGAATCATACATGTTCCAACGGTGTAGGTTCTGAGGCGCGGAAGGGGTCCGCCATTTTTGGGTCGACGGATGTGGCGCGGATCCAGGGGAGTAGGAGGGGAGACATAACAATGTAACACAATACAACATGTTGCAATTATGCAAGTATTCGATGCATGGGATACGTTGCATTAGGGCTTCCGCTCCGCTGCGTCGGGGATGGAGCTGCCGCCGTACGCATGAGCGGCGTCGAGCGCGGGTCTGTCGTCAAGGCCACTTGTCGTGTCCTTGCTAGGAAGCGAGTCGGACAAAAAGATGGCGCCATGCTGTCGCGCGTCATCCGGGCCTCTGGATCCCATATGCGTTTTGGGCCGTCTTGGGCCTTGGGTCTTGGAGCCCCTTTGGCGCGTCTTGGGCCGTTTTTGGGCGCTTTTGCGCTGTGCGGTCCCTTCAGAGGCAGAAGGCAACGCCCATTTAAAACTCCGATGAGCATAGCAAAAACGTGCCATCCGTGAACAATTCCGCGGCCCTTTTGATTGCACAATGGGGCCTCACAGGGGCATCTTGCGGGCCTCTTGGGGGCCTTTTGGGGGCTCCAGGAGGCCTCCTGAGAGCTTCCCGAAGGCTTCTTGGGAGCCTTTTGGGGCGTCTTGTGCTGCATTCGGATGCTTCTGCGCCGTTTTGCCCCTTCGAAGGCCGTCCAGTGGGCCTCTCGCGGCCGCCTTGGGGCCCTTTTGGGCTTCTCTTGAGCCGTCTTCGGGGCCTCTTGGACATTTGGGAGGGCTTATTTGGGCCGTCTTGGGCCGTCTCGGGGCAATTTTGGAGATTGCTTGGGCCGTCATGAGCTTCTGAGAGTCGAACAAGGCGAGAATGTTACAACTTCTTGAAAGCCTGATGAGAATCAATGAGTTTGGCCTCCGGAGGCGCTTTTTGGGGTCCTCTGAGGCCTTCTTGGGTGTTTTATGGGCAATCTTGGGGCCATATTGGACCGTCTTGGGGTCGTTTTGGCCCGTCTCAAGGCAATTTTGAGCCGTCTTGACGCACTCTTGGGTCCCCAAGAGGCCCAAGGGGCCCAAATCATTTATTTTGCATAATTAGGTTTTGTAGTTTTGGGGCCCAGGCGGGGGTCACCACGATTGGTCGAGGGATGTGGCGCGGCCCCTGGGGGGGTTAGAGTGGAGACATAATACTGCAACACACTACAAGATGTGGACTTTGTGCAATCATTGGATACATGGGGCACGTTGCATTTGGGCTTCCGCCCCGCTGCGCGACCTGCCTCCGGCAGCACGTAATTTCTGGACCTGGATTATAGCGGCTTGCGCCACATCCGCCGACCCCTTGATTCGTAACGCTCTGACGGCTTCCCATTGATGTTTGGCGCAGGGTAGAGTCAAGTCCCAAAGTGAGCCGTCAAGAAGATCACCTTCAGCTTGCAGGTTTGCTTCCAGTGCGCGTCTGCGTGCCAGCTGAATTAAAAAAAGGTTTATTCCTTCGGGGACGCGAATCTAGCGCATGTGCGAGGCATTCACGGTCGCGGGGCCGCGAGAATCGCGTAATTTGCGAGAGTCTCTGGTATCGGGGTCGCAATTAGTGAATCATTTCCGAGGGTTCTTGGCGTTTGGGACGCGGGTACTGTGTAATGTACGAGGGATGATAGCTTCCGGGCTTGAGGGATTTATTGACGGAAGCGTCCGGCTCGGGGGACGCGTTTATTCCCTACCCGACGGGTTGTTCGATTTCAACAGCGGGTCCCTTGGCCAACCGCATCCTGCATACCGCGGCCGCCAGACCCCCAAGTTGTCCCGAGAGTCCCGGGTGTTCCGCCTCGCGCCCTGCCAACCCCACCCTGCATACCGCGGCCGCCAGACCCCAAGTTGTTCCGATGATCCCCGACAGTCCCGCGTGTCTCGTCTCGCGCCCGGCCAACCCCACCCTGCATACCGTGGCCGCCAGACCCTAAGTTGTCCCGATGATCCCCGAGAGTCCCGGGTGTCCCGCCTTGCGCCTTCGACGAACACGACAGACACAACATGACAGAACATAACATGACATAACGGACTTGAGCATGACAGAACAGAACATATCAATATCACAATTTAGTAGAGCATGGCAGGACGTCACATCACATACCAGAGCAGAACATGGCATAACAGAAGACGACTTATCACGACATAACAGAACATCACTGAGCATACCATAGCACACCTTGACATAATATATCATATCATGGCACAGCATCACAGAACATTGCATACTACGACAGCAGAGCATAGCGACGACGAACACGACATAAATACAGCATGACACAACATACCATGGCATACTAGAACACGAGC